CACCAGGTTCGGCAGCTGACGCGGGTTGCACACGGTCTTCGCGCCTCGAGGCTCCAAGTCCCAAGAATCCTCGACTCGACAGCGGTCTTCAACAGCCGACAGCATCGCGTTCCTATCAGCATGACAGAAATACCGTCGATGGACTCGTAAATTTTCGCGAGCGATTTTGGCCAGTATGCGACAGCCGCATTACGAACATCGGAAGGGTCATATCTTCACGCGTGTGATGGATAACAAAGTTCAGACTCAGAGTCGTCGTATCAGTCAGAGCTACAGCCTCACCTTCTCCAGCGATTCCCTTGCGAAGCAGTTCTCCGAGCGCTCCAGCCAGCATGGTGAACATTCAGTGGATCGATCCGCGCGACAGGAGCCTCCACAGCATCAAGGCCATGACCGGCTTTATCAAGGATGTCCGTACGAAGCAGCGCGCCCTGAGCAAGACATGGGAGCCCATCATCGCCATGCTTCCATGAGCTTCGACGTCGACGCTGGCGCCTGCCAGTACTTCCAGCTCGACCCCGCCGCGGTGCAGGCCAGCATGAGTGACATCAGTCTTCGTGGCCTTTACCTCTGGGAGACGCAGACGTCGCTTTCATAGCAAGAAGATAACCAGCCAGATAATGATGACGAAGAACACCTCCATTGGCCTGATGAGATTGGGATGCCAGGTGGTGCCAGCTCACAAGGAGACATCCTCTCGTCCTCTGCGGGTACGCCAATGACCTCGGCTTCTGGTCCATCCTTTTCGCAGGTAGCTACTTCTTAAACATCGGGGGCGTCGCCCCGCTTACCCTCCTTGTCGTCGTAAAGTTCGAGCTCAACTGTGGGTGCAGTAGCTCCCGAGCCTGCTGCAACTCAAGTACATGAATATGGCGCTTCGCGCTTGCACACAGAATTGCCAGAGTCTTTTTAAATCGCCGTCCACAGCTCCCCTCCTCTTCCTTAGGAAGCAGTCCAAAGGGATTGCCAAGCTTGCGCGGACAACGGACGTAGTGTGTGTGTGTACAGGAGACTCACGGTCATGTGGGAGATCTGGAGACTCTGGCGCGGGACTACCAGGGCGTCCGTGCTTTGGATCGCTTGTCAAGGGTGCTCATGCTGGGGGTCTGTTTCTCCTGGTGCGAAGGTCCTTGGTGCAGGATTTCGAGTCCGTGCTTCCCTGTGAACATGTTTCTGGGCGTAACCTCTCTCCTTCCTGTGTCGGCCAGCAAGGTACCTTGCAGGTGACTGGAGTTCATCTTGATCCTGACTGGTCAGAGACTGCGACCAGGCGCGCCCTCGCGGTGGTCTCGCGTTATTCGAAGCAGCAGCCCGCGGCGCTCAGCATCGTCATGGGCGATTTCGCATTTCACGAACATGGTAAATGTAGATTCTACCCCGAGCCTCCGCAAGCCAAGCCAAGCATATCCCGACTAGCTATCGCATTTGGCCGCCTCTTTCCCTCGCATGCTGAAGTGGATCAGCTCGTCTTCAACCATGAAGCTAAAGCAAGGGTCGTCTGGATCGCATCTACAGTAATTTCGCCGCACCTACCCGGCTCGACTATATGGCCAACGCGGGTGTCTTCAGGAAGGAGCCTTCATATCATGTTTCTGCTTTTATGTGCCTGTATCCCCCCTAGTCCTGCCGAGGTATCTATACAGCGCATTCCGACGTGGGTCTCCAGGCGACGCTCGGGTTGGCACATTTGTGGAGGACTTACTTGATGCCGCAGGCCTCTCTCAGGATCCGTGCTCTTAGGTGCAGGCGATTAAGGGTATCATTCACATTGCTGCTGCGCATGTCCGGCGCTTTGCCGGGATATCATGTGATGTGCCCAGTCCAGAGAAGGCTGCCGGCATGGACAAGCTCGCGCGGCCTCTCAGGGCAGGAAGTCCAGTTCATGCGGGGCGCGCTTCTCTCGGCTGAACAGGCCATCACTCGTGTCCGCCGCCTTGCTTCTGCCCGGGCTGCTCGGCGGCCCCGGGTCGAGCTCGTCGGGGTGTGCGGCCCCGGCGATCCAGTGCTCGCAGATCCAGACGAGGCTGCCCTCGAGCTCGACGGCCGCTGGGGTGAAGTCTTCGACGTTGAGGAGAATCGCGCCCTTCCCGAGGCCCGCCCCCTCTCTGGCTGCATCCAGCAGATCCCGAATGACTCCCCCCAGTTCGTCAATGCTACGCACCAGCGTTTTGGCAGGGTTTCGGTGCTGCTTGTTCTTCGATTTTGTTCCGTTGATGTGTTTCGTTTTTTCTTCGCTGCGCCGCGCGTCTTCCTCCTCTACCCGCCTCCCCCCGCCCTCCTCCGCTCGCGGCCGCCTCTGCTGCGCTGCCTGCTGGTTCCCCGTCGGCGCCGTCCGCTGCTGTTGCTGCGAACGTCGTGATCAGTTCTGCAAGCTCCTCGCGCGGATCGCGCCCCGTGGGGGTCTGCATCTGCGGCCCCAGTTGGGGCGCGCCCAAAGCGTCTCCGCGCTCATTCCGGCGCGCCCCGGGCGCGAGCTGCAGCCCGGGAGGGGCGCCCCCGAAGCGTACCCGCAGCCGCTGCGGCGCGCCGTTCCCGCGGCTCGCGCCAGCGAGGCAGCTCCGCCGGCGGCCCTGGCGGGGGCGCCCCAATTGCGCCCTTCGCGAAGATCGCGGCCACCGTTGCACGAAGGCCCCAGTGGGACTTCCCCCGGCGCCACCGCGCCCTTGTCGGCGTGCCTCTTCGAGCGGGTGGCGCCCCGCGGGGAGCGCCGCCTTTCGAGCCCGGTGGGGGCAGCAGTTGCTACGTGTGGCGCATTGGAACACATGTCGGCGTCCGTTTGAACAGACTGTGCTCCGCATGGCATGCTCCGCGCAGGGCCCCGGCTCGGAGCCCCCCCCCTCCCGGCAGTGTCGTCGCATTTGCCAGTGAGTTTGTCCCCCGCGTGGAGCTTCTCCTGCAGCCCCGGCGGGGGCATCCGCGCGCAGTCGCCCGCTGTCCATCGCCGCGGTGGATTTTTGGGAAAATCAGAAACTTTAGGAGAAGAGTTGAAGGCCTGATTGGTGTATAGAATTTCGAGACGACGAGAATTTCTGATTGTAACAAGCTAAACGGCCCGCCGAAATTCTATACGCCAATCAGGCCAGTGGAAATCGCCCTATGACCCTCTCGGAATTTCTGTGGCCTTGGTTACCTGGGGCTTCGCTCCCAGCCGCCGATAGAGTCGGCCGAAGGTTGGCCGTGGCCGGCGTTGGTGCCCCGCTCGCGTAGGAGCGGAAACCGCGTCCAATTTTTTGTTGCGCTCTGTTTTCGTTTGTTTTTTTGGGGGTTGGAGTGGGCGGGGAGGGTGGCGGGGGCGCGGGGGCCGCGAAGGGGGATCTCGGGGAACGGGGCAGAGACGGGTAGAGGTTGAAATGGAGAGGGAGGGGCCAGCGGGCGCAGGAAACGGAAATGGGTGTGGGGAGAACAGAGGGATGGACATAGATAGGAGCGGGGAGCGGATGGGTGAACGGACGGTTGGGGGGGGGGGAGCAGGGGCGCGGCGAGGGGAGGGGGGTGTGAGCGGGGGCGGAGGCGGGGCGCGAGGTCGCGGCGGGTTCAACGGGCGGGGCGGTGGTGGGCTGAGGAGGGAGAGAGGGTCAGCGCGGGGCCTCGGGGTCCGTCGCCATTTTGGCTCCAGCCCCCGCGGCGGCATCCTCTCCGATCGGGCCAGGGCCGGTGCCCCTCCCCTCGCTGATGTGGTGGATGGGGGGGGGTAAAACAAGGCTAGGATCGGGATAAATCGCTCCAGAGCGTTCCGGAGCGCTCTCAGAGCGTTCCGGAACGCTCTGGAGCGGCCGCGGCGCCCAATACATCCTCCAAGCCCGCCGATTCTCAGAGATTTCGAGTGATCCCGATCCAATTTTGTCCCGATCTTCGCGTCGTTTTAGGGGGGCTGGCGAGCGCGCCCGCGCGCGTCCCCAGACCGTCGCGCGGCCCCGCCCGGAGTTCCTCGCGCGCCCGGGCACGAGCGCGGGCTCGTGGCGCTGGCGCGAGGCAGCGCTCGCCCAGAGACGGCGTCAAGACCATGGGCGGCGGCTGCGGCCTCGCCCGCGCCGGCCCAAGCGCGCCCTGGGCGGGGCGCGTGGCATTCGCCCCCTCCCGTCGGAAACCTGCGCTAACGCCGTTTTGGCCCACGCGCTCCAGCAAAGACGGCCCGAGCAGGTCGGCGCACGGATGCGTGCCTCCCGCGCGTTTTTTGTTGTGCTGGCCCGCGTGGGGCTGCCAGCTGGCCTCCTCCTCGATCTTTGGAGCCTCCATGCTGATGTCTAGGCGTGCACTTCCACAGGCGATTTCGGGAAGTGCAGGAACTGGGTCGTGAGGGGCGGGGGACGCAGCTGTCCTCTAAGTCTTATTTTGATATTTTTCCTTCTCTCTCGCTCTAGATCCTCGCCCGCGGTATCTGCTGCAGCCCCGCCCGGGATCGGGTTTTCGCGGGCGGCATCTATTTCGTTACCCGCAACCTGTATCGCGCGCCCCCTTTCGCCTGCAAGCGCATGGCCGCGCCCGGCACTGTCTCGGGGCCCGTGCTGGACATGGAGAAGTGTGAAATCGTGATGTTGCGCGTCGAGGATAGGGCGGAGATCCAGCGAGGTTTCCAGGTGTCTGGGTTGGGTGCCCGCCCTTTTCGGATTCAGAATTCTGGCAGACTCCTTGATGCCGCGTGTTGCAAATCTAACATTCTCAAAGGGTCCGACAGAGTCTCTGGCGAAGGTCGGATTCGTCGAGCGCGCAAGGGTCGTCCCTGCAAGGCGTCCAGGAAGAAACCGCTCCTGGCCGAGCTCGCGCGCTAGCAGGACCCCCCGGGACCTTCGCCTCTTCTTGTTTCGTGCTCTCGACCGCCCTTCTTTCTCTTGGCCTGTCTCCGCCTCCTCCGCCGCCTCCGCCCTCACCTCCTTCTCCTCACCCTCTTCCGCCTCCTCCTCTTCCTCCTCCTCCTCCTCCTCCACCTCCCCCTCCTCTTCCCCCTCCTCCGCCAGCGACGGCGGCGGCGGCGACGACGACGACGGTGACGGCGCGCGCAGGTCGGCCTGCATTTGGACTTCTCGTGCGCCGCGGGCGACGCCGGGCTCGTCGCCGCGGACGTCGTGGAACACCGGGAGGGCGCAGGCCGGCCGTGGGAGGGTTCGGATGGGACTCGAGGAAGGATCGGACGGTCAAGAGAGGAAGATGATGATGATGATGGGGAGGAGGAGGAGGAAATGGAGGAGGAGGACGAGGAGGAGGAGGAGGAGGAGGACGAGGAGGAGGAGGAGGAACAGGATGAGGAGGAAGAGGAGGAGGAGGAGGAGGAGGAGGAGGAGGAGGAGGGGGAAGAGGAGGAGGAGGACCAGTGTAAACCCAAGAGTCATCAACAATGTTGGAATTAACCCTCCCTCCAAGGTCACTTTTCATAGGCCTCATACAACGGTTCATTTTCATTGAAGGAACTGCCTCGGTTTTAAGATCCTGAAGCATGCCAAAACATGGTTCTCGGGATTTCAACGCCACGTATCGACCTGACTGCTGCGTCTTGACGATCTGGAATTGTGCCAGAATGCCATGTTTGGGAGTTCAACACCGCAAATCAAAATAACAGTTACACCCGCATAATCCTAAATCCTTCCAAACCACCACTTCTGGTACGTTGATCATGGGAATCTGTAAAGCTCTTGTAAATGTTCAAAACGAATGTGCGCTGCGCTAAGGCGAGAGCCACATTTTGGAAAGGAACCGCCCTCAATCCGTGAAGCTCTTGTGCATTTTGAAAACGAATGTGCGCGGCGCGAAGGCTCAATCCGTGCCACTTTTGCATTTTTTACAACGAATGTGCGCGGTGCTAAGGCGAGAGCCACATTTTGAAAACGATCCACCCTCAAGTCGTGAAGCTCTTGCTAACTTTGAAAACGAATGTGCGCGGCGCTAAGGCGAGAGCCACATTTTGAAAACGACCCGCCCTCAATCCGTGAAGCTCTTGCAAGTTTTGGAAACGAATGTGCGCGGCGCGAAGGCGAGAGCCACATTTTGAACACGACCCGCCCTCAATCCGTGAAGCTCTTGCATTATTTGAAGCGAATGTGCGCGACGCTAAGGCGAGAGCCACATTTTGAAAAGGACCCGCCCTCCATCTGTGAAACTCTTGTCATGTTTTAAGCCTCAGAACCATACATGGTCATGAAGTCTCAGGCGAAACGCCAGGCCCGCGCAAAAAAAATGCTTCGGGGTGCGACAGGGAGAAGTTAGGTATGAGGAGAAGGAGTGGAGGGAGGAGGAGGTGGAGGAGGAGGAGGAGGAGAAGGAGGATGTGGAGGATGAGAAGGAGGAGGAGGAAGAGGAGGAGGAGGAGGAAGATGAGGAGGAAGATAATGATGATGATACTCCTGTTGCTGATGATGCTGCTGATGATGCTGATACTGATGCTGATGCTGATGATGCTGATGCTGATGATGATTATGATGATGCTGATGCTGATGCTGATGCTGAGACTGATGATGATGATGATGTCGCTGATTCGGATGGCGATCATGATGATGGTGATGTGGATGCTGATGACGATGATGATTAAGGTGATGCCGATGATGATAATGCTCATGATGCTGATGATGATGCTGAGGATGATTAGGTTTTTGATGACGCTGCCGATGATGCTGATGATGCTGATGATGATGCAGATCACGATGCTGCTGCTGATGATGATGCTGCTGATGATGATGCTGCTGATGATGCTGATGATGATGCTGATGCTGAGAATGCTGATGATGCTGATGATGCTGATGCTGAGAATGCTGATGATGCTGATGATGCTGATGATGATGCTGATGATGCTGCTGCTGATGATGATGATGAGGAGGAGGCGGAGGAGGAGGAGGAGGAGGCGGGGTAGGAGGAGGAGGAGGAGGAGGAGGAGGAGGAGGACCAGTGTAAAGCCAAGAGTCATCAACGATGTTGGAATTAACCCTCACTCCAAGCTCCCTCTTCATAGGCCCCTACAACGGTTCATTTCCATTGAGGGAACTGTCTCGTTGGAAGACAACCGTTTGAAGACCCTGAAGCATGCCAAAAAAATGTTCTCGGGATTTTAACGCCACGGATCAACTTGACTGCTGCGTCTTTACGATCCGGAATCGTGACAGAACCCCATTCTAAAGGATTTCAGCACCACGAATCAACATAACTGCCGGACTCGCATAATCCTGAACCCTTC